TTGTCTTAGATGAACCCTTCATGGTTTTCTTGTTCTACAATGAACCATTCATGGTACTCTTGTCTTACGATGGACCATTCATGGTCTTATTGTCTTATAATGAACCCGTCATGGTTTTTTTGTCTTACGATGAACCCTTCATGGTTTTCTTGTCTTACGATGAACCATTCATGGTACTATTGTCTTACAATGGACCATTCATGGTCTTATTGTCTTATGATGAACCCTTCTTGGTACTTTTGACTTATGATGAACTGTTCATGGTAATGTTGTCTTATAATAAACCATTCATGGTAATGTTGTCTTATAATAAACCATTCATGATACAGTTGTCTTATAATGAACCATTCATGGTCTGTTGTCTTATGATGAACCACTCATGGTACTGTTGTCTTATGATGAAACATTCATGGTACTGTTGTTCTTTTTTATTATACAATACTGTAAAATCTGGATAATAAGCAAATACATGAAACATAAGCATGCATAGAAATTATCATTTATGGGAAATAAGCATGTATAAAATAAATAAGGATTTGTGGAAAATAAGCATATATGGTAAATAAAGAGCCATGAGCCATTGGTTCTTTATGTAGAAACATAAGTACAAATTTCGTAGAAAACACTTGATATGAAAGCATCTTAATTTTAAATAAATACAGATCTGCCATTTAATATAAGATTAGAGAATTAAAATGGAATAATATTTAAATGACTTTCTCAGAGAAAACAGAATTTGAAGAAAGTTGTAAAAAAAAGCCCATATGACATGCCAATTGCTCTTGCATTTGGTTATTAAACATGTAACCAAAAGTAGGATCCAATACTCAAGGTTCTTGTTTGAGATAATTTTTATTTCATAATATTTAATGTGTGTATATTTAGTACATTTTATAAATCAGTACAATGATTATATTGCATGGTTGTAATTATTTTGCAGTTATCATTATTTCTTGTCTAGCACACTTTTGTGCATCAATTTATTTGTCCTTTGCCTGTTCTTATTTGTAAATATATACAGTCCATCTATCTTTATGATTACATGAAATTAGTACCTTGCAAACTGTATTCATGTTCTGGCAATATTCTAATGTATCAGTGAAAATGTTGTCTTATTATGCTGTGTGGGGAGCAGTCTTTCATACCTAGACTTGTTCTGTTTGTGCTATCATGAACTATTATTTTATCTAATCATGGTGTTTGTGGAGCCATCTTTCACACTTAGACTTTTGTTTATTGTGTGATCATGTACTATTATTGTCACTGCAATCACATTCCTCATATTATTAAAAGATTCATATGGGAATTTGTACTTTTTATATGTATGTATGTTTTAGAGTTATTTTACTAAGTGCCCATTGAATGCTTCAGACTGGATTCCATCACATGCATACACCAGTAGTCATTGAATGCTTTAGAATCGATGCCATCACATACACATTTGACCATTAAATGCATTAGAATGGATGCCATCACATACACCCATGTCCATTGAATACTTTAGAATTAAGATAATATTACCAACTGTCTTTTTTTGGTAGTAAAAGCATTATGTTAAATATTGCAAACACAGTTGATGAGAATATTTTATGCTATTTTTTCATCCAATTTTATGTTGATATAATAATGTCTGCGATGATAATTCAGTCCATGATATTGCCACCGAAGATTTGCACATAAAATTTATTGATCTTGAGGTCAAAAGTTTATTGAACTAGTTTCTTGTAAAGGTAAGCAAGTTTATTTATGTCCTATTTCTTCTTGTGCAAGAAAGAAAATGGGCCTATACATCAATATCACCATTTTATGATTGCAACCTATTTTCAAGGTTACTCTATTTTGTAAATGTTAAGTTGTACAACAGTTTTGCCAAATCATCTGAGAAAAATATTAATATCTTCATAAGGTTTACTGTGCATTTCTTTGGCTTGAAGTTATATATGGCCATGGTCTATGCTAGAATCAATTAAACTCGAGTATGGCCATGGTCTATGATAGACTCAGTTAAACATATGTATGCCTGTGGTCTATGATAGACTCAGTTAAACCCATGTATGGCTGTTGTCCATCCTAGACTCAAGGAAACAAATATATATGGCCATGGTTATCACTAGACTTGATTAAACCTATGTATGGCCATGGTCTTCACTAGACTCGATTAAACCTATGTATGGCTATGGTCAACACTAGACTCGATTAAACCTATGTATGGCCATGGTCTACACTAGACTCGATTAAACCTATGTATGGCCATGGTCTTCACCAGACTCGATTAAACCTATGTATGGCCATGGTCAACACTAGACTCAATTAAACCTATCTATGGCCATGGTCTTCACTAGACTCGATTAAACCTATGTATGGCTATGGTCATCACTAGACTCGATTAAACCTATGTATGGCCATGGTCATCACTAGACTCGATTAAACCTATGTATGGCCATGGTCTACACTAGACTCGATTAAACCTATGTATGGCCAATGTCCATCCTAGACTAGATTAAACCTATGTATAGCCATGGTCTACACTAGACTTGAATAAACCTATGTATGGCCATGGTCTATACTAGATTTGGTTAAACCCATGTATGGCAATTGTCTATCCTAGACTCACTCAACCTATGTATGTCCATGGTCTATGCTAGATTTGGTTAATCCCATGTATGGCAATTGTCTATCCTAGACTCACTCAACCTATGTATGACCATGGTCTATGCTAGATTTGGTTAATCCCATGTATGGCAATTGTCTATCCTAGACTCACTCAACCTATGTATGGCCTTGGTCTATGCTAGATTTGGTTAATCCCATGTATGGCAATTGTCTATCCTAGACTCACTCAACCTATGTATGGCCATGGTCTATGCTACACTCAATTATGGCCATGGTCAACACTAGACTCAATTAAACCAATGTATGGAATGGTCTATGGTCTGTGCTAGACTAAATCAAATCTATGTATTGACATTCTGTAAGCTAGACTTGGCTAAACCCAATAATGGCCATTGTCTATCCTAGACTCAATTAAACCTATGTATGGCCATGGTCTGTGCTAGACTCATTAAAACCCATGTATGCTCATGGTCTGTGCTAGACTCAATTAAAACTATGTATAGCCATGGTCTAAAGTCTATGCTACACTCAAACATGCATGGTCATGGTCTATGCTAGACTTAGATTTACTATGTATGGATATGGTCTATGCTAGAGTTGAATTAAAATTAAAGTTATGGTCCATACCGGATGTGAATTAAGCCTAACATTATGGTTTATGTTGGACTTGAATTAAACTTGTGTATGGCTATGGTCTATGCTGGAGTAATTTCCCACATTAACATATACAAGAAGACTAGCCAATCCTAATAGCCAACATTGACATGGTCATTATATATACAAGAAGACTACCCAATCCTAATGGCCCACATTGACATGGTCATTATAGGACAAGAAGACTACCTGATCCTAATAGCCTACATTGACATGGTCATTATAAGACAAGAAGACTAACCAGTCCTAATAGCCCACATTGACATGGTCATTATAAGACATGAAAACTAGCCAATCCTAATAGCCTACATTGACATGGTCATCATAGGACAAGAAGACTACCTAATCCTAATAGCCTACATTGACATGGTCATTATAGGACAAGAAGACTACTCAATCCTAATAGCCTACATTGACATGGTCATTATAAGACAAGAAGACTACCTAATTCTAATAATCCACATTGACATGGTCATTATAGAACAAGAAGACTACCCAATCCTAATAGCCCACATTGACTTGGTCATTATAGGACATGAAAACTACACAATCATTGTAGCCCACATTAACATGATCATTATAGGACATGAAAACTACCCAATCTTAGTACCCCACACTGACATGGTCATTATATGTACAAGAAGACTAGCCAATCCTAATAACCCACACTGACATAGTGATTATAGGACAAAAAGACTATACAATCCTAATAGCCCACATTAACATAGTTATTATATGGACAAGGAAACAAACCAATCCTAATAGCCCACATTAACACATGGTCATTATAGGACAAGAAGACTACCAAATCCTAATAGCCTACATTAACATGGTCATTGTAGGACAGGAAGACTATGCAGTCCTAATTGTCCACATTGTCACAGTCATTTTAGGACATAAAGACTACCCAGTCCTAACAGCCCACACTGACATGGTCATTATAGGACAGGAAGACTAAGCAGTCCTAATAGTCCACATTATCATGGTCATTATAGGACATGAAGACTACCCAGTCCTAATAGCCCACATTGACATAGTCATTATAGGACATGAAGACTTCCAAGTTTACTGAATGTTTTGCTATGAAATTGAGTGGTACATACAGTAATAGAAATATGATGCTACAAATTCAGTACTAAAGACATAATGCTGTTTCTCTCATAAAGCTGATAGCCTTGAATTCCTATTCTGCTGGTTAAACTTCTTTTTTTGTAGCAACTTTTTTTCACCTGATTTTTTCATTTTGGGCAGTTAACATCAAGATTATAATGTGGATTCACATTAAATACATTTGTGTGTTTATAAATTAGCATAGTTCATTACAAGTTAACCCTGTCTTTACTGCAAGTCAGTTTTCTTGTTCCAGTGAATACCATTATAAAATGGGAACACTGCACATCATCACATTAATACCAACATACATCATTAGAGTAATGTGCCACATCTACAAAACATCACTTTTGTGGTTCCAGTGTATATTGTTGCGAAGGAGCGTGATGTGATTATGATTTTTAACGTAGCTTTAAAAAATTTTCATTCATATCACTATGATGTCTGCATTGTGGCAGTTTGTAGTGATGTCTAGCACTGGGGCATCATGCCACAGACATGTAGCATGATGTCCCACCCAGTCACATTATCCTGACACCAGGCTGACCAGTCCTAACACTAACCTCTTAATGCTGAGCATCAAGCAAGGCAGCTGTTAGTACCATTTTTGTAAGTCTTTGGTATGACTCGACCAGGGATCGAACCCATGACCTCCTGCATCCAAGGCGGACACTCTAACCACTAGGCCACCAGAGCAGTTTGTAAAGGAGCACTTCATTGATACTAACACAAAATGAGTGAAATGTTTTACAAGTTTATGTCTTATGAATAAATTAGGAAAGCATGGAAGGTTAGGATTTATATGTGTGTACAAGGAATGGAACGCCAGAAGGTTAGGATTTATAGTTGTCTGCAAGGAATGGAGTAAATTAGGAAATACTCTTAAGGTTATGATTTATAGTTGTAAGGAATGGACTAAATTAGGAAACCTTTAACTTACAAATAAGGAATGGAATAAATTAGGAAGTTGTGGAAGGTTAGGATTTACATATATGTGTAAATAAGGAATGAAGTAAATTAGGAAAGCTTGAAAGGTTAGGATTGACATGTGTGAGGAATGGAATAAATTAGGAAAACATGAAGGCTAGGTTTTACATGAGTGTACAAGGAATGGAATAAATTAGGAAAACATAGAAAGTTAAGATTTATATATGTGTGTACAAAGAATTGAATAAATTAGGACAGCATGGAACATACATATGTGTAAAATAGATATAGTGTAGATCTATAACAAATACCATTAAACATCAGAAGTCAACACTGAACATTTTATATTCTGGCATTTACTTTTATTTTAAATTGGAATTAGTTATCTCATTAAGTAAAAATGAGGATGCCAGCATATTGATGTAAATAACAGTTTTGGAATGAAATGTCTTACATTTTAGGACAAGGAAATAAGTAATATATACTAGGACAAGGAAATAAGTAAGATATACTAGGACAAGGAAATAAGTAAGATATACTAGGACAAGGAAATAAGTAATATATACTAGGACAAGGAAATAAGTAATATATACTAGGACAAGGAAATAAGTAATATATACTAGGACAAGAAAATAAGATATACTAGGACAAGAAAATAAGTAATATATACAAGAACAAGAAAATAAGTAAGATATACTAGGACAAGAAAATAAGTAAGATATACTAGGACAAGGAAATAAGTAAGATATACTAGGACAAGGAAATAAGTAATATATACTAGGACAAGGAAAAAAGTAATATATACTAGGACAAGGAAATAAGTAAGATATACTAGGACAAGGAAATAAGTAAGATATACTAGGACAAGGAAATAAGTAATATATACTAGGACAAGGAAATAAGTAATATATACTAGGACAAGGAAATAAGTAATATATACTAGGACAAGAAAATAAGTAATATATACTAGGACAAGAAAATAAGTAATATATACTAGGACAAGAAAATAAGTAATATATACTAGGACAAGAAAATAAGTAAGATATACTAGGACAAGGAAATAAGTAATATATACTAGGACAAGGAAATAAGTAATATATACTAGGGCATTCATTTTAAAAAATATCTTGTTAAAAGAAGCTGATTACATGGATGTGCAAGTTTCCATGTACTTTATTTTCTATACATTTTATCTTGAATATAAAATCCATGTAAACTTGATTTCCCATGCATTTTATCTAAAATATAAAATCCATGTAAACTTGATTTCCCTTGTATAATATCTAAAATATAGAAAACACTCAAAAGCATATTGTCTATAATATAAAATCCATGTAAACTTAATTTCCCAATCATATTGTCTAGTATATAAAATCCATGTAAACTTGATTTCCCTTGTATAATGTCTAAAATAAAGAAAACACTCAAAAGCATATTGTCTAGAATAGAATATCTGCTTAAATTGCATTTTCCATGTGTATAATATAGAATAGAAAATCAATGTAACTTTTTTCCATTTGTAATATCTAGAAAAGAAATCCACTCAAACTTTTTATGCATGTGTAATATCAAAAATAGAAACTCCACTTAAACTTTGTTTACAATATGTAATATTTAGAACAGAAAATGAATACAAACTTTATTTCCCATTTGTAATATGTAGCATAGAAAATCCACCCAAACTTTATTTCCCATGTGTAATATCTAGAACAGAAAATCCACTTAAACTTTATTTCTGATGTGTAATATCTAGAATAAAAAAATGAATCCAAACTTTATTCCCCTTTTGTTGTTGTAGGATTTAATACCATTTTTTCAGCACAAGATAGGCTATAAATGGTGGATGAAGAACAAGAGAAAACACCAAAAAGAAAAATTGACCCACTATTTCCCATTTGTAATATCTAAAACAGAAAATCCACTCAAATATTTTTTCCATATGTACTGGTAATATCTAGAATATAAAATCATTAAATTTAATTTTTCTAAAATATGATGATCTTTTAAATTTTAAATATTCCAGATTGCACAAGATTAACAGTGATCTTGTTTTGGCCTTCTCATTTGCATGTCATGTCTTTCACATTTGTTAAAGATAAATTAGTTGGAAAACATTCTGTGACCATTTTGGATAATAATATTTATTCTTGGTCCACTTTGACTTTCTCCAGTGCTTGTGCAAGGTCTTTAATGAGATCATCAGAATTCTCAAGTCCTATGCTGAAAGTATAGAATTTTAAATGAGGATATCAAGTAGTGTGGTATGTATAGAGATACAAATGAGGATATCAAGTAATATGGTATGTGTAGAAATACAAATGAGGATATCGAGTAATATGGTATGTGTAGAAATATAAATGAGGATATCGAGTAATATGGTATGTGTAGAAATATAAATGAGGATATCGAGTAATATGGTATGTGTAGAAATATAAATGAGGATATCAAGTAGTGTGGTATGTATAGAAATACAAATGAGGATATCAAGTAATATGGTATGTGTAGAAATACAAATGAGGATATCGAGTAATATGGTATGTGTAGAAATATAAATGAAGATATCGAGTAATATGGTATGTGTAGAAATATAAATGAGGATATCGAGTAATATGGTATGTGTAGAAATATAAATGAGGATATCGAGTAATATGGTATGTCTGTAAGGATAATATTACTGTGAATAAAGACAGGGACGTATTATTGCATACCTGTGTACAAATCACTTTTTAAACACATTGAAACCAAATCACACCAATTAAAATTAAAATTATATATGGAACCCAGTTTTCACATGTCAGTTTGGATCCATGACAAAACAAGGTTTTCACCAATTTTGCCTGTTCAGCAGAAGAAGAAAATGATTAATTTCAACCACTGACCAGAAGAAGAAAATGGCCAGTTCTCAATAGTTTAGTTCCCAAGACCTACCATCGCATAAATATAAACTATTTTCTTACATTATAGAATCCCACAAAAAAAGAACATAGACAAACCAAATATAAACTTGGAAGTACAATTTTATGTTGATATAGACATAGATTCAATACTTATCTACTTTTATTCAATGTCTGTTGCAAGGAAAAAGTACTTGCTATTGGGTTTACTCAATGTCAATTGCAAGGGAAAAGTACTTGCTATTGGGTTTACTCAATGTCTGTTGCAAGGAAAAAGAACTTGCTAGCCGATTTATTCAATGTTTATTGCAAGGGAAGAGTAGTTGCTAGTGGTTTTTACTCTGTTTTTAGGAACAGTACTTGCTATTGATGTTGCTTAATGTCTGTTGTAAGAGGAGACACTTTTTGTTCATTTTGCTCAATGTCATAAGTGGACATTACTTTCTTTTGGTTTTACTCTATGTCTGTTGCAAGAGAAAAGTACTTGCTAGTGGCTTTACTCAGTGTCTATTATAAGGAAAGAGTAGTTGCTAGTGGTTTTACTCAAGCCATCCCTATTAAGATGGGAAAGTAATATCAGCTGATCATTAGTACTTTACGTTTATTTTACTGGTGTTATGTATATTGAATTTGTTTTAAAATAATTTTATTTCATTACATGCTTTTGTAATGTAACATTGTATGTTGGACTTTTTTTAAATTTCTTAAGTGAATTTTACAGATTATTGTGTTGTAAGTAAACAAGGCTAATTAGATCATTCTAGAAGGTTTTTTTCCATTAGGTAATGTGCTGTTTTATGCTAATTGTGACCGTAGGTCAAGAAGAGAATTATATAATCTTGTAATTGTGAGGACTTGGTCATTTGTACTTTAACATCAAGTACTTTCAAGTTGTATTATATGTTGTGACCAGGAGGTTTGGACTGTAATCTCTTTTTGTATTCAAGTGATTATATTTCTGGAAATACAAAAGTGCTCTGATAAAATTCTTGGATATAGACAATAATTGGAATTTATAATGTTATTTAACAAAAGACTGTTGATATATCAACACTTTATTTGCTAGCACAGACACATCATTGACTTCAGTTTTGCGATATTTTTTTCACTTTTACTATTATTCAGGACTTTAAATTCCTAGGACTTGTGTCTGTAAATTCTTGAATTATTTTGGGATTTAATTTATATAACTGTGAGTTGTTTTTTTCTTCTCATTTTTCTTCTCATTTTCACTTTGTATTCTAGGGAAATAAATTTATTTGTTAAATTCTACAAAGCTTGCTGTTTTTAACTGTTTTCTGTTACTTATTTTAAGAGCATAGATGTCTAACACTGGATACTCACTGAGCAATTATCATCCATTACTCTATCACTTATTAATAATCATGCTTTTTCATGTGTGCCTTGTCACATATTATACCAAGAATTAATTTGTGTTTTAATAATAATGCCATTTTCTATTGAGTGGGCATATATCATTTCCAGTGTCCATCCTGACATCCCACCACGTTTATCCATTACAACTGGGGGTTTTTTCTATTTGTTACGTGACAAATGCTTGTACTCAATAACAAAGTAAAGATTGAAAGTCAACAAGCTTTGTACATTTTAACAAAACAAATTATTTCCCTAGACAATAAAGCAACTATTGGTAAATAGGACTTACAGTTTGTGAATATAATCCAAAATTTGATCCTAAGAATGAAAACACATTGTCAAGTCCTATCGCTAAATAGTTCTTTTAGAATCCAGGTTTGAGTCCCAACAACGTACAAATATGGAAGGCAATGACATCAGATGTACGAATATCAACAATTCCTCACTTGAATTGTGAGGTCTTTGTTTCTAAATAATTCCAGAATAAATTTCCATGAAT